AATTGGTCAACCTTTTATATAGTCAAGATAGCCGCCAATATGATCACCGCGCACGCGCAGTGTGTGATGACGTCACACGTCAATGTAACAACGCAAGTGACATCATGACATCGTACACCGCAGCCATCTTAGGATTCCAGACCAGGCAATGGATTCACACATAAATATAAAGAGTTACTTTAAAATGTAAAACAGTTATATAATATGAAAATGCTGCTAGTCCAGTGGACTCCACAGGGTGTCAACAGTACCTTACTGGCCTCAACATATTAATCAGGGCCTAACAGTATATATTTAATTTTGGGAGGACCAACCACTAAGGACTATAAGATCAATATCTACTGCACAATTAACTTAAACAGTGGAAATCCATCACTGGGGCTTTTATCCAAATTAATCAAAATTGTATGAAAGACGGGTCTCTGTTATGCTCAAGACACACATGCCAAGCAAGGGATTTTGAAGAAATAGACATAGAAATGTTCCTGAAATAGAGTTCGAACTGAGCAGTAGGTCTTGTTGACGAAGAAAGACCCACAGAGGTATATGATAATAAATATACCTATCTATATCACACCAGCAGTATCACAAGTGACTGGTTACATCTGAGGGTCCTTCTCATGGGCAAGACCAACCTGTTCCCCTGAATAACATGGGGACAAAAATCACGCTTTCCAGATTTAAACATACCAACGTTCCTGAGATGAATAGCAGGTTTCCAAGTAATGCCACCACGTACAAATAGATCCTCTAATGAACGCCCAACGGTGTATAATTTGAGGTCTATCAGGATTCATTTTGCCCACTAAGTGATCATCAGATAGCAAATGGCAGTGTCTGGCACATACACCTTATTGGACAATTCAGAGAACTGGAGACACAACCCCACATTGTTGGATGCATCCACACTCTTTTGCTCCCTTTGATTAAATAATAAGGTCTTCCGATCGCTATTCTTGGCACATCTATAGGCTGTATTTAGCCATTTATCCTTACAGCCTCTTTTACAAAATCTACTTTGTAACTTTTGTGCCTCTTTTTCAAAATCCCCTTTATCGGTATGATTTCTCCAGGCTCTAAGATATTGCCCGACTAGAATGCCCCAGATTAATGTTTGTGGGTGGAAACTTTTGGCATGTAACAAATTGTTGGTTGCAATCACTAAACTGTGTTATTTTAACCATACTGTCTTCTGTTATTTCAATTGACAGGTCAAGAAAAGTCAACTTTTTCACATGCCACTCACTGCTGAACCTCAAATTATAGCGGTTCATCATAAGTTCCCCAATGCATTTTTGAATCTCGTCAGGGGTACCAGTCCAAAAGATGAGGACGTTATCGATGTACCTGTACCAAGATACGATCTTGGACAGGTACACTGACGGCATTCCCCCTGAAAATAACCAAAGTCTCCCAATCTCAAAGATAGATGTTGGCATAAGCTGGGGCACACTTAGTGCCCATAGCAGTGCCTTGGGCTTGACAGTAATACTTGCCATTGAATTGGAATGTATTGTGAGTGAGCAGAAATCTAAGAAGTTTTACCACAAAGTCACTGTGGCCATACTTGCATCTCTAGTCTGTAAAACCGTACCAACAACTTCACATCTCTAGTCCGTAAAACCTTACCAACACAACTTCTAAACCCTTGTCATGAAGTACTGAAGAATACAATGCCTCTATATTCAAGGCAAGTAGTATGGTATTGGGGGACAAAAGACAAGTCATGTCTCAATGTGAGAAGGTGTAATGCATCCCTCACATGAAAATTGGTTAATGACAAAGGGTTTAAATATTTGTTTATGTTCTCACTTGCTGGTTCAGTGAGTGATCCATTCCCGGAGATTATAGATCTTCCAGGGGGGGGGGGGGGGAATCAGTCACTGCTCTAGAGTCCAGTGGCAGTTTGCTTTACACCACTGCCTCTGATGCTTTGCATTGCACTTGGTAATGTAAATGATGCAGTTGGATGCAGCTGCTCAGCCATAGAAGCCCATTCGCTGAAGCTCTCTACTAGAGATGAGCGAATTTTTCAAAAATTCGATTCAGCTGATTCGGCGAATTCCAGGAAGAAATTCGATTCGATGCGAATTAATTCGCTACGAAGTTAACTTATAAAAAGGGTTTCTAGGCTTCAGAGAGCCTTTAAATTAGTGCAGAACACTGTACCTTTAATTTAAATGCCCTTGGAGATGAGGAAGGAGAAGGAGAAGGAGAAGGATGAGGAGAAGGAGAAGGATGAGAAGAAGGAGAAGGATGAGAAGAAGGAGAAGGATGAGAAGAAGGAGAAGGAGAAGGATGAAAGAAGGAGAAGGAGAAGGATGAGAAGAAGGAAAAGGAGAAGGATGAGAAGAAGGAGAAGGAGAAGGATGAGGAGAAGGAGAAGGATGAGAAGAAGGAGAAGGATGAGAAGAAGGAGAAGGATGAGAAGAAGGAGAAGGATGAGAAGAAGGATGAGAAGAAGGAGAAGGAGAAGGATGAGAAGAAGGATGAGGAGAAGGAGAAGGATGAGAAGAAGGATGAGAAGAAGGATGAGAAGAAGGAGAAGGATGAGAAGAAGAAGGAGAAGGATGAGAAGAAGGAGAAGGATGAGAAGAAGGATGAGAAGAAGGAGAAGGATGAGAAGAAGGACAGTTCTGTGACAGTTTCTGTCTATTTCTGACAGTTCTGTGACATTCACTCCATACAGCGGTTTCAACCGCTGTATTGAGGGAATGTCCCAGAACTGTCAGAAATAGTCTATTTCTGACAGTTCTGGGACATGTATGGAGTGAATGTCCCAGAACTGTCAGAAATAGTCTATTTCTGACAGTTGTGGGACATTCCCTCCATACAGTGGTTTCAACCGCTGTATGGAGGGAATGTCCCAGAACTGTCAGAAATAGTCTATTTCTGACAGTTCTGGGACATTCACTCCATACAGCGGTTTCAACCGCTGTACAACAGCCGCTGTATGGAGGGAATGTCCCAGAACTGTCAGAAATAGTCTATTTCTGACAGTTCTGGGACATTCACTCCATACAGCGGTTGAAACATTGTATCTATTTGTTTCCATAAATGGATCCATTTATGGAAACAAATAGATACAATGTTTCAACCGCTGTATGGAGGGAATGTCCCAGAACTGTCAGAAATAGTCTATTTCTGACAGTTGTGGGACATTCACTCCATACAGCGGTTTCAACCGCTGTATGGAGGGAATGTCCCAGAACTGTCAGAAATAGTCTATTTCTGACAGTTGGGGGACATTCACTCCATACAGCGGTTGAAACATTGTATCTATTTGTTTCCATAAATGGATCCATTTATGGAAACAAATAGATACAATGTTTCAACCGCTGTATGGAGGGAATGTCCCAGAACTGTTATAAATAGTCTATTTCTGACAGTTGTGGGACATTCACTCCATACAGCGGTTCAACCGCTGTATGGAGGGAATGTCCCAGAACTGTCAGAAATAGTCTATTTCTGACAGTTCTGGGACATTCACTACATACAGCGGTTGAAACATTGTATCTATTTGTTTCCATAAATGACATTCTGCAGATACACTTAGAGGAGCTCTGCAGATACACTTTTTGCCGGCTTGGAATTATTCTTATTTTCATCCTACTTCTTCTTCTTCTTCTTCTTCATCCTCATCCTCTTCTTCTTCTTCTGAGGATGAGGATGAAGAAGAAGAAGAAGAAGTAGGATGAAAATAAGATTAATTCCAAGCCGGCAAAAAGTGTATGTGCAGAGCTCCTCTAAGTGTATCTGCAGAGCTCCTCTAAGTGTATCTGCAGAATAGAGGAACTCTGCACATACACTTTTTGCCGGCTTGGAATTATTCTTATTTTCATCCTACTTCTTCTTCTTCTTCTTCATCCTCATCCTCTTCTTCTTCTTCTGAGGATGAGGATGAAGAAGAAGAAGAAGAAGTAGGATGAAAATAAGATTAATTCCAAGCCGGCAAAAAGTGTATGTGCAGAGCTCCTCTGTAAGTGTATCTGCAGAATAGAGGAACTCTGCACATACACTTTTTGCCGGCTTGGAATTATTCTTTTTTTCATCCTACTTCTTCTTCTTCTTCTTCATCCTCATCCTCTTCTTCTTCTTCTGAGGATGAGGATGAAAGAAGAAGAAGAAGAAGTAGGATGAAAATAAGATTAATTCCAAGCCGGCAAAAAGTGTATGTCAGAGCTCCTCTAAGTGTATGTGCAGAGCTCCTCTAAGTGTATCTGCAGAATAGAGGAACTCTGCACATACACTTTTTGCCGGCTTGGAATTATTCTTATTTTCATCCTACTTCTTCTTCTTCTTCATCCTCATCCTCTTCTTCTTCTGAGGATGAGGATGAGGATGAAGAAGAAGAAGAAGAAGAAGTAGGATGAAAATAAGATTAATTCCAAGCCGGCAAAAAGTGTATGTGCAGAGCTCCTCTAAGTGTATCTGCAGAGCTCCTCTAAGTGTATCTGCAGAATAGAGGAACTCTGCACATACACTTTTTGCCGGCTTGGAATTATTCTTATTTTCATCCTACTTCTTCTTCTTCTTCTTCTTCATCCTCATCCTCTTCTTCTTCTTCTGAGGATGAGGATGAAGAAGAAGTAGAAGAAGAAGAAGAAGTAGGATGAAAATAAGAATTCCAAACCGGCAAAAAGTGTATGTGCAGAGTTCTTCTATTTCTGACAGTTCTCTGACAGCTTCTTCACATGTACAGCGGTTGAAACATCTGTATCCTAAATGGAAACTAATAGATACAATGTTTCAACCGCTGTACATGTGTTCCTTCTGTCAGAGAACTGTCAGAAATAGCGGAGCTCTCTGCAGGGACACTTTTGCCGGCTGATCGGGAAAAATCCGATTCGCGCACCCCGAAGTAGGCAAATATTCGGATTCGACGCGAAAACGAATTTTTCCTGAAATTCGTATCGAATTCCGGTTTGCCTGGTTCGATTCGCTCATCTCTACTCTCTACGCACTGTTGTGCTAATCTGAAGGCCACGTGAAGTTTGGATGTCTTTAGCTATTGACTCTGCAGACATTTGCCGACTTCTACACACTGTGCACTTCAGCATGTGCTGACGCCACTCTGTCATTTTATGTGGTCTACCACTTCGTGGCTGAGTTGCTGTTGTTCCCAGCTGCTTCCATTTTGTTATAATACCATGAACAGTTGACCGTGGAATGTTTAGTAGCAAGGAAATTTCATGGATGGACTTAATGCACAGGTGGCAAACTATCACGGTACCACGCTTGAATTCACTGAGCTTCTGAAAGCAACCCATTCTTTCACAAATGTTTGTAGAAGCAGCCTGCATGCCTAGGTGCTGAATTGTATACATCTGTGGCCATGGAGGTGATTGGAAATATAGTGTATATTACTCCCTTGTCAGCAGCCTTGATAGCCATCTCTGAGATCAAACGCAATTCATGTAAGGAATCTCTCTCTACCTCACTCAAATTATCATGAAAGATATAGTCTCTCTTGAGACTTCTAATATCCTTGGTGACCACTTTTACAAAGCAAAAGATGGCTGGAACTGCTGAAAAGGGGGGAAAACACCTAAACCGTTTCGTGTCCTTTTAAAGGAACCATCTGTATTGACTGTTCCAACTGATCTATAATTGTTCACCACTCAGCTCAAATGCCAAGTCAAGCATTAATTTAGCAAAGTCTTCATCATCTTGCTGATCTGTGTGACCCTCTTCCCATAGATCAATGAGGTCCCACAGAGAGCGATATTCCTTTATAGTTAGACTAGTCCAATTGCCCAGTGGACCCAGGGGAGCTGTATTTTTCTTATGTTCCTGAAGAATTTGCAAAATCTACTTCCTCGTGAACAGATATGTATTTTTACAGCTTCAAAAGGTACTTCACCTTAGGGTGGGGAAAAGGACAGACCTTTGCTCAATAATGTTGATTGGGCATCAGTTAATTCAAAACTGGACAAATTTACAATCTTTTATGTCTTCTTGTCCCCCTTGTTGATGACATAACCATCCAGTCCAAATTTCTTGGGAAGGGGAGCTAGAGATGTTTGTGGGTTCTGTTGTATAACTGGGCTGTGTGTCTCCATACTGACCATTTTTGGGGTCCTTACATTTACAATTTGACCTGAGCCCCCCTCCTCCCTGAGGGGTGGCCTTCCTTGTTTTCTGTAGATTGGCGTCGTCCCATCACCCCATTGCCCCTATAAATGGGCTCCGGGGAGATAGTAAGAGTACAATCTCTTTCCTCCATTGTGTTGCTTTTTCTTTCTTGTGACCCCCTCTGTCTAAAGTGGCTTCTACCCCTCCCTCCCCTAAACTGTATAGAGGATGATCCTCTAACAGAACCAAGGGATTCAGGTAAACTATTGTTATCTTATGTAGTATAGTCCCATTGTTTACCCCTGGCTTGTCTCACATTTTGTAGGACAAACCATATATAGGCTTTTTCCGTGGCACAAGCCATTCTGTCTCTTTTTTTTCTATTCTTAGAACTATATATGTCTCTATTCAATTTCTCAACAGATTGGCATATGTTTTTTTTTTTATTTCTGTATAAAAGAAGGCTTCTTCCTATAAGGGGTGAGAGAATTCAGGGTTTTGTAGATCCTTATTAATATCCACCATCTATGATTCATAAAAATCCAGAAGCATGTTTCTGGTGCACTGTTGTATATTCTCCTCCCATCTCTTCCTAAAATCTGGATTGACTTCCCTGATTCTAAGAAAGATCTGAATTCTCAGGTCTTCTGGATAAATCTGTTCCTTAAGATACTTTTTGAAATCATATCCATTCCACCAAACCATAGATTTCCTCTCAAAGGTTCTTCATTTTAAATAACAGTCTTATAAGCTCCCTTACTTCTGCTGCATCCCTGGAGGCTGCACCCTCCTGTATCTGTATTTGTTCACCATTTTATCCCAAAATAGTGGAGAAGGGGGAAGTCCACCAATATTTAAATGATCCAATATATGACCAAGGATATTAAAGGGATAAACCTCTAATAGATAACACTAAAAAAGAACAAAGAGAGTATCCTAGGTCAAAGAAATGTGTATACATATTATATTATCAAATATCTGGTGGGAACAGTCCACAATATCCATAATCCAAAAATATATATATAAAAAAATGGACTTATGGCTCCAAACCAATCCCAAACTTTATGCTAATGTCAGTTTAAATCTGGTGGTACAGGTGAACAAAATAATTCCCTGACAGATGTCCTTTTAATTCATTAATATTATAAACTTCCATAAAAAAGATAAATGTGAAAAAATTTAACAAATGGTACCTACTGGGTTAAAATAAAACGCCCATCATGTCCCCAAATGCATGCGTGTATGTGTATATGTATGTGTGTGTGTATATATGTATGTGTGTGTGTGTGTGTGTGTGTGTATATATATATATATATATATATATATATATATATATATATATATATATATATACACACATACACACAAATATCATTACAGTAAATTGGCTTTATTGCATATCAGTCAATGGGCAGAATCCAGTGCAGATGGATAAAGACCAAGACTGAAGGTGGATGGATGAGTGTAAATTGAGAGTCCTGCCATGACTTATTAAAGAATATACTTATCATTAGATTAATTGCAATTTTTCAGCAGTATAAGTGAGCCAGAAACATGGAGCAATTATAGACATCCGCTGTAAGCAGAAATATTCACTGTGCTCCAGAGGAGGAAATGGTGCACTGATAGAGAAAAGGATGTATCTTTCATGTGTTAAATGGTTACCTCATTCCTCCCTTGCACAGACATCTAGCATTTGTAGATGGCATTATCCTTAACATATGGTGGAAAGTTCCATAAGTGTCCCTTACAGTGCCCATGAAGTATATTAAACTGGTAAAGCAAGTGAAGCCATATGTATAGAAGTTATAAGTCTTGATATACTTATCAGTCTCTCACATTAGGGGGCCATGGTGGGTGAAGAAATAGCCTGACCGGCTTCACCAGCTCCAACTGGCTGCATCAGGGACAAACACACGGCAAACGAAATGGACAGCCTTGCTATAGTCAAGATGGATTCCAATATGCTAACTGTGCATGTGCGGTGTGTGATTATGTCCTGATACACGTCACATAACAACATAACATGTTGTCACGTAACATCATGACGTCATACTCATCTGCCATTTTAGGATTCCAGACCAGGCAATGGATTCATAGAAATATAAAGAGTCACTCTAAAACTCAAAACATCAACGTCCAGCGGTCTCCACAGGGTGTCAACAGTAACTTCCTGGCCTCAACATATTAATCAGGGCCTAACAAAAAAGGAAAGCACAAAGAAATTGGTAGTGACCTCCAGAATCAATCCACGACCACACACTCCACTATTTGTGGCCCAGACACAGGGATTCCGGCTGGCTGCAGCCATTTCCGCACCAGGTGGATTAGGTTGAACATGTGATCTTGGAGGCCTCTCATCTTTGAAAGTTCCAGCTGCTGACCTGTTGTGCTCGAACGGCCAAGGTAACACCAAGCTGCGCCAGGATTTCCTGCTTAACCTTTTCATATTCTCTTGCTTCTGCTAACTCCAGATCACAGTAGGCCTTCTGAAATTCTCCAGTAAGGGGGTGACCAATCTGGCCCACTGGGTCTTAGGCCAACCTTCCCTCTTGGTGGTCCTTTCAAACAACAGCACAAAGGACTCTGGGCACCCTCAATTTTAGCAGGCTAGAACTTTGTCAGCGACTGCACAACCTCAATCAGGGTTTTCCCATCTGCTTCTGCAGCAGTGGCTAGCTGTTCAAACAGCCTCTGCATTGGTACAGCACCTTTGTTTGTTCCTGCAAGATAGTGTTGGCTTGCTGTTGTGCAGCGTTAGATAACACCAACTGTTTGAGGATTTCCTCCATGTTTAGCCATTCCAGGTAGTGGCCCTTTAAATAGCAGTTCCTTGCTAAAAATGCCTGCAATCCTCCACCATATGTGAGCTGGGGACCAGTAGCTGGTACATACACCCCCTGGGGTAAGCAGTCTTTCAGGCAGAGATACCAAATCCAGTGAGGTGGTGACAAACAGTGTTGTGTTTACTGATAAACACCATTAAACACCAAATGGTGTTTACTGATAATGTTTACAAGAGTGTGCACAGCTGCTGTACAATGGTTCAGAAAATGAGCAAGGAAAAAAAAAGAAATACCAAAACAAAAGCCTCGCCCTATCCCAGAACTAACTACCCAAATATACAGGTCCTAACTAACATGCTGAGCAAGCCTACTGCTCCTCAACCTCTACATATACAGTTTGTTAGCTTTTACCAACCTTTCCGCTCTCTTGGACTTGTCTGATCCCCAGGCCAAGAGCCTAGCTACAGGTTCCAGGTGAGATTAAATTGCCATGGAGAGAGGAGTAAACCCTGCATTGGACCACAGATCAGAAATCCCTAAACGTATATGAAAGGAACCTGGGAGACCTATAAACCCTGAACAGGACTTTCCCAGGATTCCTCTGGGATGCTCTGCTACAGCAGATTTGAATACAAATAAATTTAAGCCAAACTCCAGCTAAGACTTTATAGTCAGTAACATCAAACAGTTTTTTGAATCACCAGTTGAAAATAGAAGAAAGAAAGCCTAAAGAATCAAACTAATCACATCTAAGAATTAGCTGCAATATAATACATTTTTGCTTTGGGGTTTAATACTGCTTTAAGTTGCTAGTTGTGTATTTTGTCACCTGGTTTATGGCTATGTATACAGGTGAAACTCAAAAAATTAGAATATCGTGCAAAAGTTAATTTATTTCAGTAATGCAACTTAAAAGGTGAAACTAATATATTAGATAGACTCATTACATGCAAAGCAAGATAGTTCAAGCCGTGATTTGTCATAATTATGATGATTATGGCTTACAGCTCATGAAAACCCCAAATCCAAAATCTCAGAAAATTAGAATATTTTAAAAAGGTGCAATATTCTAGGCTCAAAGTGTCCCACTCTAATCAGCTAATTAAGCCATAACACCTGCATAGGGTTCCTGAGTCTTTAAATGGTCTCTCAGTCTGGTTCAGTAGGAACCACAATCATAGGAAAGACTGACCTGACAGTTGTGCAGAAAACCATCATTGACAACCTCCATAAGGAGCGAAAGCCTCAAAAGGCAATTGCAAAATAAGTTGGATGTTCCCAAAGTGCTGTATCAAAGCACATTAATAGAAAGTTATGTGGAAGGGAAAAGTGTGGAAGAATAAGGTGCACAAGCAGCAGGGATGACTGCAGCCTGGAGAGGATTGTCAGGAAAAGGCCATTCAAAAGTGTTGGGGACTTTCACAAGGAGTGGACTGAGGCTG